ATGCAAAGCATGGGTATCGTCCAAGATGATGTAGGGAACTGTGATAAAAACATTGTGCTAAAATGTTTTCGACAATTACTATTAGTGAATAATTAATCATTAATTTTGATTAATTATTTTGATGTGTAGAATGATGTATACCAAAGAATCAAGTCAAGAGCTATCACATATCCTATGGTAAAGTAGATACAAATATTTTCAATAGCAGTGAGAGTCATTATATCATTCCATTTTTATTTGATTTTAAACTATTTCATAGTTTATATTCCCTCTTCCAAGAGAAAATGGCTATGAATTCATGTTTGCCGAGTTTACTGGTGACATTTGCCTAATGACATCTTTACTTCACTACCAAGTAAGAAATTAAAGTGGCATGTTCTGGAATTTCATAGCCAGTGTACATCTGTTCTCACCCCTCCCCCTGTGGGAAAAATCCCTAGAGGAGAGGGGTGGGAGCAAATTTTTGCAGGCAAGATTTCTGAGATTATATTATTCATTCTTATGTTATAATCGTTATCGCAATTCAGACTTCAGCTGAAAATTCACCCTGGTTGTTAGCTATGAGGCATTTTACAGAATTAAGTGAGTCGAAAGGTCAGTGTTAGTAAGATTATAACTTGTACAACTCGACATTTTAAAATTGTAAAATTTACTTTTGGCATTTTTGTTGAAACAGGTATTGTATTGATGGTAGGAGAAGTTGATACCAAAAAGTTGGTAAGGACATTAATATTAGTAGAATTATAGTTTACCTCAACTTCTAACTGACAGGGGTTGGTCACACAGAGTTAGAATCTACTTACAGGCTTAACATGTTTTGAGAATGTACTTGCAGATACTTTTCATTTAATAGTATGCTTTTACCAGAGTCTGAAAGCTTTAAAATATCTATTGTTTACTATTTTCAGAGTGTTATTGATGCACAGTKGCTGGGAACTCAAGTCCAAATGTACTATGCCTCAGAGAACCCTGAAAGAWTAAGGTTACTCAGACTTTTTAACAAAGAGCCAGAAAAGTTTGACCACATGAGTGTCATTGACCAGCTAGACCAGGAAATGGCCTCTGGTGCATTTGCTAAATAACTTGCAAGATWTGTATGTCTTRSAGGCTTTTGATGTWAAGAATAGGTTAAAAAATTATCCATTCTTGTTCAATATSTGCAAAAAGTGCATGTTAATTTGCAAAGATGGTCATTTGATACAAGTTTGGCAGTTTCTGAATACACAATTTTATTACCTGTCCAACAAATATTCTTACAACAATAAATKTATTTATGTATAAAAGGGTTTGATATATATTTGGTGTAAGAATGTGGGCTGAAGAGCTGAAGTTACATTGCAATAATTTTATGGCCCAACTTCTTATTGTTTTTAGTTGTTTTACTCTCAAAAAATCAAAAGTAGTCADTGAATATCTTAATATTCAGGATCTCTTCCAGCTTATGCATGTATATGTCTACAGTTTTTTAAATGCCATATCTTGATTGTGTTTCCCTCACAGAGATTGTGTCGAGTGCCTCRTCAATCAAAATAGATGCTTGTGTGTTCATCTCTCCTCTTGTCAATCGACCCAAAAAGCCACCCTTTGTGTCACATCTCTGAAATTCAACATCTTTTCCAAATCTTTTACGGCACAGTTCCTTCATGTCRGTTACTATGCCATCTGCAAGGCCTATTTCAACAGCCTTYTCMCCTATAAAGAAATCTCCTTCGAAGACTGTCTTGTGGTCTTTTTGAATGTTTGGTCTGCGTTCTTTAACAAGGTTAATAAAATTGTTGTGTATTTGGACTAAAAGGGCTTTCATGTGTTTTTCATCTTCTGGTTTTACTGGTTCAAAGGGATTTATCCTGACTTTCTTTTCACCTGCTGTGATAATTCGACTTTCAATTCCTAAAATTAAAAAAATATATTATGATATTAGAGCATGTGGAATTTCCTTGGATAATATTATTGAATATTATTATCATATAATGGTAAATATTTTTAGAGTATGTCCATAGATTGTGTGAGCACAAAGTTTACATGTAAATTCATACAATATAAGTTTCTTTCCGGGGATTTTTTAAACAAAATATAATTCTATTATTGAAACGCCAAACATTTTGTAACTACTTCCAGGTGATACGAGTGTCGCGCTCTAAGAGCGTCCAGTTGAGTACACGAATTTACAAACCTAATTTTTTGGCTGCTTCAACAAGGCCAATATTACCAGAAAGGGCGCCTATTGACCCAATAAAAGAGTTCTGGTCGATGAATATCTCATCTCCTGCTAATGCCAACCAGTAGCCCCCAGACACRGCTGCATCCTCTGCAAATGTGATGACTGGGATTTCGTTTTCTGTTGCCATGGATCTGATTCGGTTAAAAATGAGATTTGACTGGCATGCAGAACCACCCATGCTATTTACTTCTAAGCACACGGCTTTGGGCTTAACTTTCTTTACGTCAAAAGCTTTCTCGATGGACTTTTCTACTCTACGCAAATTCAGTGCCCTGGGACTTGAAGATTGAGCCTGAATAGTACCTTGAAGTCGTAGAATTCGGACGATGTTTTTGGACCTTCTCCATGGTATATACGAAGACATTCTTTACTAGATTATTATTCTCAAGCTTTGAAACTAGCCTGTTCTTTTTGGGTGATTATATAGCGGCGTGCTTGGAAAGAACCTACGWTTGTTGCATGTACATCTAACGTGACAACATATTCTATTTTTAGGCCTCGATTTTGGGAGAATGGCACTAGATGACTAAGCGTTTTGGTTTTCCTTGATAATCTTCCTATAGATTTAAGTTTAACTCACGAAAACTTTTAAAATGTTAATTTCTGTACCATATATCCACAAATTCTTATTAAAATTTTCTTGCCATTGGATGGATATTMATGTTATCTGTTTTGGGTTACCTGTTGTATTATAACGTAATGCCGCTGATAATATGAATCGCAGACTTCGTTGTATTGGGAATGCATTGTTGTGTTTGTCTCATACTGAGTAATCAATTTTCAAGAACCACTCTTTTCGCTTTTATGATCGCACAAAATGACACAGACATTTGGAATTATAGATGAGGGTTGTTCGGAGTATTGCGAAGGTAATTTTAAATGGATAAAACTACATTTTTTGACTGATTTTGAAGCACTTTTAAAAAGCTGCTTCTTCAGTTTCTTGGAATGTTTTCAAGCTTGAGTGTATACGCTGACTGTATTAAGAACTCTCCGATTTTTTTCTGGTGTTATATATGACGTAAAAATACTATTTAATCGGTTAGTAAGGTTCTGAGATAGCTCATTTTAATATGTCAAAATATAATTTACACAAAAACTATTACGTGCAAGTTATTGCATAATAGTAACTATAAAGTTTATTATCTTTATTGATTTCTTTATTTATTTATTTTTTCCTTTTTTGAGGTTCTACATGTGAAATATCATCAAGTCTCATTTGACCAGTGATGGATCAGCTTAGCCATAGCACAGCTAATGATGGATCGGCATTCCATGTTTCGCAAGAGAGTATTAGCAACATAACAACAACAACATCCGATCTTTCACCAGTTGCCATTAGCACCACAACAATAGCTGCAACAGCATTACAGCTGTCACCAAGCAATATCAATGACACAGCACTTTTAACAACTATATCTTCACAGCCAAACAGTTCTGTTGTGATCAGTGATGATGACGTTCAAATTTTAAGCATTACAAAGAAAGARCCAACGTCCAAGCTGTCGATAAAGATTGAAAGTAGTGATGAGGAAGGTTCAAAGGATGTTTCACTTATTCCAAAATCAGAGACTAGTAGTTGTAGAGATGTTTCAGACAATGACAAGTCATCATGTCTTGGTAAGGACACTGCGGCAGGAAGCAGTAGTCCAAAGGAATCAATGTGCTCCATTTGTCTGGGTGAATTTGATAACAAAGCATTTTTGGATCAGTGTTTCCGTATCCTTTATTATTGTTACTGCTCTATGTAAATATTGTATAAAGTATCTTAGATCTAATAGGTGTTTTGATTGGCTGATTATCATACTAAATCAAAGGTCTATGCTTGATCTTGCATCTCAAAAATATGCAATTGTAGAGACTACATGTATCAGCCAACAAAGCAATTTTTAATAATACTCAAAGGACATATATTAACATAGAACTTAAAAGTTTAATTGATTTGCGTATACATGTATATGATATGACTTTCCTTCTAACTCCAGAATGTACAAAATGTATATACAACACATCACTGTGATCTACGTATTTCTGATAAGATTTCTTCCTTGACTCTGGTTTAATCAGATGCCTTCTGTTTTTATTGCATCCTTCAGTGGTCTGAAATTGTCAGAACCTGYCCTTTATGTAAGGCAGAGTTCAAACAAATAATACATTCTGTTAAATCAATGACAGAATATCAACAGGTAATGCAGATTCAACTTAGTGACTTCTTCACAAAGGGCAAATGCTTTTAGTCTATTACKTGAGTTTTTTTGGTTTTACCAAGTTAAGTCTGGAGAGACTGGAAACCAACACAACTCYTCCCCAATTTCACCTCCAGTCTCCCTCTTTATTCATTACCCTGTGCCCATCTTCACTACTTCTTCCAAAGGAATCTCTATAAGTAGAATTAACATAAAAAAGTCAATTTTATTTCAGTCACACATCATGAAATGCATTCATTAAATCATTTTCCTCAAAAAACGTCCCCAAAACTCGGGGTGCGGCTTATCTACGAGAGCAGTTTATATATGGGTAAATACGGTATTGTATCTTTTCCTTTTTTTTCAGCATAAACTACCACCAAAGGAAAATCCAACAAAAAAYACTAGCACTAGTGGTAGAAGATTTCGTTACAGAACTACTCTTGTTGATGGAAGAAGTATGACGTCACACAATACAACTGCTAGACCAATAAATGCATGGGAACAGAGAGCTGAAAGAAGGGAAAGAGTGTTAGCTATGAAAAGAAGGAGAAGTATCCAGGCAAAAGAAAAAAGACAGTAAGTAATTACTTGACAATTAAGTAATATATACAATATGAGCGGGCGATCTGTATGAGGATTTAAAACAGCGAGCTGAAAGCTTATGAAACTTATGAAACTTATGAAACGTTGAGGTAAACTAGCTCTGGTTTTAAAGAAACTTTGAAAAAGAATTCAATCTGACCGAGAAAATCAGAGTTTAAGGTTATGCAAATGAACAAGAATCTGTATGTAATATACAACTCTCTTCATGGGCTATGATTTCTATTGTGTTTTGCCTTATGAATATTAATGAGTTTTATAAGGAATATTACATTTATGTTAAATGTATAATTCTAATCAAAATGCTTGTGTGCTGGGCTAGGCAGCTTAATTAGTGCTAATCCTACATTTACATGTAGGTTAACTCTTAATAAACCTATGGAGTTAACCCTGGATTAAAAYTAATGGAGCTTTGAACAACCCAGTCCTTTTGTTATTGATGTKCAACTCGTAGCTCAACACCTTGAGGGTGGCACGGGTGGCCTAGTGGTTAAGCTGCTGGCATCTCACCGCTGTGGTCCGGGTTCGATTCCCGGGCATGGACAACATGAGAGTGTGAGTTTGTTTGATGTGTTGTTCTCTCCCTTGCCACGAGGGTTTTTCTCCGGGTCCTCCGGTTTTCCTCCCTCAGTAAAAATCAACATGTGAGGAGTGCTGTGTGCTAAAATATTTAATGTAGAGGTAGTGAGTGTGAGAGTACAGGGTCCGCAGTAATTGGCTCAAGCTGTTGCAGTGTCCCTGCCAAAGTAAGGACAAAGCTAATAAATTAAATTAACCTTAGTTTGATTATTTTTGCACTGATTATTATTTCTCACTCTCTTATTATTCCACTGTACAGATCAATTTATGCAAGGAATCTTTGGGTCCAGACAGTAACACAAACTGGAAAAATGAAATACAGAGACACATGTAAGACAAATTACATGCAGATAAATTTTTACAACTTCAGTTACAATTGTAGTTTACAGCATAAAGATTCATTTTCAGCTTTTGAATGCACTGGATATTTTTTTTTGCAGCACCTCAGTTCTTTCATGCCAACCCAGCGTGCACACATCGATTGGTGCCATGGCTTACCCGTGAGTTGCAGTGTTTGTTGAATGATGAACAAAGTCATGTCGAGTTTRTACTCCAACTGATCCTGACACTTATCACTAAGTAAGTTTAGAAGTTGAAGTCGAAGTTGAATTTCATGCTTTCATACTGTAAGCATTAAAAGGCCCAGTGTGCAACATTATGCTTAGGTGGCCTTGAGAGCCGGGAGGCGGCCATTTTCAGTTTACCGAAAGTCTATAAATTGTACTGTGTGTGTTTAAAATCTTTGACCATCTCACTTTTCTAAGCAATTTAAACGCTAATATAAGAGTTTTCAACCATCTAAAATTCGTTTTATTGTAATATTTGGATACTAGAAGTATTTTGGTGTAAATCATAACAATAACACAGGCGCGCAAAGCATAATGGTGCAAACTGGGCCTTTAACCATCAGTACTATTTTTTGGTTTGGGGTATGGAGAGTCATCGTTTGTATATTTTATATTATAAATTTTGACAAACGCAACTAATACATAGTGATGGTAGTGGAAACTAGCGGTAAACGTCTAGAATGAGCTGCGTCGGAGTTTCTAAAGAAACAGTTGTGCAAAAAGATAAATTTTAACACCGTGAAAAAGTAAGTGAAACAGCTTACTGACGTTTTGGACGTTAATCCTTTACTCCGACGAAGGATTATTTATGTACGTCTAAAACGTCAGTAAGTTGTTTCACCTACTTTTTTTTACGGTATTAAAATTTAGCTTTTTGCACAACTACTACAGTGAAACAGTTTAAGCTGCTACGTCTGAAGAAATAACGTTTCAACTTAAGTGTTAAAAGCAATTTTTTAAGGGCATTCTTTTTGGGTTCCAGGATTCCAATCGATTCACAAGAATTTATCGAACAAGTTAGTCCATTTTTATCAGAAAAGACTGAACATTTTTGCCACGAGTTTATGAGTTATGCTCGGTCTCCGTTTGACATGAAAGCATATGATGAACGTGCGCAGTACAATTGGCCAAGGCACACTAGTGAACAAGTAGAGCAAACGCCCATTGTAGTAGACATGAGTGCCACTGGTAAGTATTTGATGCTCTGCAAAGCAGGTCTCGCAGCTCTAAATAAAAGTCATTGTGATTGGCTGGCTAGAACAATAGGCTCTATTGTTTACGCCTCGTTCTTTAGAGTCGCGCTGTGTTCAASCACTTACCAGCAATGTTYTTTGGCGCTGCCACCTGACCCCAATTGACTTGTGGCCCTTCAGAACAGACTAGGAATCTGGGCTTCCTGTCGCTGGAATAAACATTGCGTAATTTTATAGCAACATTAGTTGAACTGAAGCAATACAGTAATACAAGAGATTTTGGTATACAACAAGAAAGACTCCAATATGACCTCATATCTCGCCACTCCTACTCCCGTACATGTTCACAGTAATGTTTTATAAATCTTTATTATTTGTAGGTTGGGATTCCCCGGAAGAAATACAAACGCCAGTAGAGCCGTTTTCAAATGAACCAGGTCCATCCGGATTATCAACTCATGCACTAAGCGGATGGTCTCCGCCTATCGCAGACACCATAGAGTTGACAGCTACTAACGTACCTGAGCAAATAACCAATGACATCATAGAATCGTCACCGGAAGTGATCGATGTTGAAATTCCAAAACAAAAATATCGCCACAAGCATAAACGTAAACACAAGCATCGTCATAAACACAAACACAGAAAACTAAGCTGTGATTACGAAAATATTGAGCCTGGACCGTCTAGAATATCAATGTCGCCTGTTCTAGGGAGCACCTCCCGTGTAGATGTTGTTGTGTTGTCCAGCAGCCATGACTCTTCGCCGGAAGTCGCCTTAAGCTCGCGTAAGGAGTCGGCCAACGGACGATCTGACGATGATAACAAATGGATATTAATTCACAAGGGGAAACAACCCAAACAAAGTTTTCATTCGTCKTCTGAAACGCTAAAGTCACGAGACTCGAGCAGCGAMCAATYGCGCGACGACAAACATCGGAAAGTACGCTGCAAGGGGAAGCATTCTAAAAGAAGATACAGTAGGTCRCGTGAGAAATCGTCGGAAATATCACGTGATTCACCGCGCAGACATTCTCGYAAGCATAGAGAAAAGTTGAAAAAGCACAGTCCCTCGCTGTCTCCTTCGACAGATCCAACGTGTTCAATCTCGAACGATTTTTCTAATTCAGTAGCTCGTCCTTCACWGGATTTAGTGSCCAAGCCTTCATCGTCAGTAGTAGCCAGGCCTTTATCTCCAACCGAGGAAGACATGAGGCAAGAAATTTTAGAYCTTGAAAGAAAAATTGCTGAAGACACAAGGCGCCTCAATGAATTAATTAAGAAACAAGAASAAAGAAAGTTAGTAGCTTGTGCCGCTGACGCTAGCTCGTTACAAACTGAAGACAGCGAGACGGATGGACAGAGCAGATAGATCTGTTGGATAATGTAGTTAATTTTGTATTAAATTTATATTTTGAAACTGTTTGAATTTTCCGTTGAGGGACACTTTGAGTGATCAAATTTAAAAGTTTTTAAACTTCAATTTTTAACGTTTTTTTTTAAAGTTTTTAAGCCTTAAAAGGCTTTCTTCAGTCTCATTTAAAGTTTTCGGTCCACGCTAAACCCCAAAGGAAAAAATTGAAAATGTCCCCATATTTTTTTTTCTGTCTTATATAAAGTTGTTTTTAATTGGGCTTAAAAGATAGAAAATTTACAACACCTMCTTTGAGTTAAGGACTGAATCATCGTTGTTCAAATACTTTTATCCTCTACAAACACCGATGATCAGATCGTAAACATAAATCAACAGAAAAACAAAACAAAAAAATTGCTTTTAAGACAAATATCAGATGTGATTAGTGAGGGTGGTCGTGGGTGGGACTTTTTAAGTACCTTTTATTAAGTGTGGTTCAGGGGTGACAATTAATACTTCTAAGGTCTCGCACAAACGTAAAGAAATATAGTCCAACATACATGTATATATCAAAACCAGAATGACTAGGAATTGATTGTCCTGATTGGTTAAGCTGAGTATGTACTTTATTAGAATACCACTCAAAATGTTAATACTGCGCTTTGTGATAACCTCTACGCGTTTTTTCAATAGTGTGTCTTTTATAGAAGAAAAAAACTCTACAACTTTCGATGTGCATTTTTGGACTGCCCAAATCCGAGAAGTGTGAAAATAAACTCGGCGTCGCATTTCGTTCCATAAACTCAGCTATGGATCGTGTTCTATATAACTTAGCCTCGTGATCGCATTCCTTCCTGCGACAACTCTTTTAAAAATGCTTCTGACAAGAGAAGATAACTGAGGATCGCTAGCATCTTTTCTAGTATTTATTCTTTTACTGAAAGAKAAATATTGGCTAATTTAATGAACAGCTAGGCGTCTGTTCACAGATTACATCACTTTGTGATCATGATGTATTACACCTGTTCTTAAACAAGCAAATAAGATAAGGACAAACTGGTAATTCATAATAGACTTGTYGTTTCAATGAAACAAACTCGCTATAGGCAGAACAGACCGAAACGGCAACTAATGAATATAATGACACCGGCCAAAACGGAAAAAAGAAAGAAAATAACGGAAAGTTTCCTTATTTAGTGTGAATAGATTTCACCAAAAGCCACGGTGCCTCGAGTCATCCGCCCCAGTTAACATCTTTATAAAATTTACATGCTCTTTCCCTTATACTTTAATCTGTTGGCATAAATGTTTTATCGTGAACTCTTGGTATTAGCTGTTTTTTCGAGCTTCTTGAACACAAAGTCTACTGTTATAGGGAATAACTGTTTAAATAATTGATCAGCTTATCTTAGATCCGCCCATTTTATATAATGCATTGTTATTTACTTGRACATGAAGAGTCAACCTATTTCTTATCTCTGGCTATCCTAGAAGCTAAACATTGATTAAGTGCTATAATGGACTAGCAGATATAAAAACTGGATAGCGGGAGTGCCAAGGTACTCGGAACAGATCTTATACGATCCAGMCATGATGATAGTTGCACAAATTTTGCTGCTTGGGTTTCTTGTGATATTTGAGAACACTCATGGTGCAGGTAAGGGCTTTCTTATGTTCCCATGCTTTTTCTTTCTTTCTTTTTTTTTTCTTTTATTTATTTATTTACCTTCCTTTCTCTAAACTAGCTCAAAATAATGACTCTCTYATTCTGTTTTACTTGTTGTAGCTAGACGATGCAGCTCTAATCAACCTGTAAGTCGCGTGTTCCCTCTTCGACGCCGCATTACCTTCCCAGCAACCACCGGGAGCTGTTACTTGAGCCACTCAGGGCTACTGCTGGAAATGACTGATGGTAAAGCGTGTGTTCTCGAGTATTCGACAGACGGAAATGCACGTTTGTATGGTGTGAAACCTATGTACTTCAGCTTTCCTTGTAATTGGTGGAAGGTCAGTCAGTGTATAGGTCGATTTTTGTTCGCGCAATGAAGTTGAATGCGTCATCTAGTCATAGAGTCATTTACGCAGTATAATGATCCTATATTGACTATATTGTACGTAAAGACAGGCGACAAAACGTATTGGTCATACAGTCAAGTCTCTTTATAACGGACACCTTTGGGACCGCTTAGGTGTGTCCCCAGTGGCAAATGTCTATTGTTAAGGAAGTTATTTTCAGTAATTTATTTGTGAAGGGGATTAATTTTTAAATGAAAATTCGAAGTTAATTTTTAAAAGTGTTGATAATAACGGATTAATTTAGTATTTTTTTGTCGACCTTTAGGAATGTTACATCGTAAGTCAATCATACAGTGGGGCAGGAACTTACCGTTGGTCACGTGATGCTACTGGGTATGAAGTTAATCACCATTCAATAACCCCTAAGGCTGCTAGAGACACGATGCAAAGAATAATGGGACATCATTATCACATGACCAAGCGAAATAGTCACCAGGCCCAAGCGAACCTCCGAAAGATGTGGGGTCTTCCGGCGGAAGATGAYCACACAAGCAAAAGATCTATATGTTCTTGCGTGCCACGTACCCTGAGCAATTTTTTGCCTCATGACGAATCATACAACGCCTATCAGATGGTTAAGCGAGCATGTCGAAAATAAGTGGTTAAATCGCRTACAACGAAMAGTGAATGCAGAAAAAAGCCAACAATACAAAAAAATACTGATAATTGCATTCCAAAAATCAATAATCATATATAATATAGCTTCAAATAAAAAGTCAGCATGA